GATTAATTACTTTATTATATACCTTAAGGGATAGTACTACATGACTAGACAGTGATTTGCTGAGCCTATTGTACTCAATTACTGCTTTATCCCTATTACGAGTGTTGTAACTGTGCATATCCCCAGTGAGTGTAACAAGATCCTGATTTTTTAGTATATAAGATACAAGTTCAAAAATGTAAAGGTTGATAATGGTTTGTATTTCCAACTGAATAAATAAAGGCCTGCAATGAGCACTTTCATCTGACTTGGTCATAACTCTAATTGCCTTCTTCTGAAGGATAAGAATGTCATCAATTTTAGCACAGTTACCAAACAAAATCAGACCATATCTAAGAATAGATTGAAAATAGGCAAAGTAAGCTGTTTTTAGATAATGACTTGGAACGCACATTGTCAATCGTTTTAAAAGATAGATAACTCGTGAAAGTCTACAAGATATGTGCTCAATATGTGGTTGCCAGTTTAACTTGTCATCAATATAAATTCCTAAAAACTTTGCATTTGAGACCAAATCATCAGTAATTACACCATCTACAGTTCTTAATGTAAATAACATTTTTTGAGTTTTTTGATTGTTAAGTAAAAATCCATTTGCTTTAAACCAAGTTGCAGCGTCTTTCAAAGTTGTCTGGGCAAGTAAATTGAGATGAACAAAGTCATCAGAAATGTCTACAAAAGTGGTATCATCAGCATATAACAAAGACTTTGTACGAACAGAGCTAGGAAGATCATTAATACTAATTAAGAACAGCAGGGGTCCTAAAACAGATCCCTGTGGGACTCCATATTGAACCAAGATTTCCTTGGAATGTTCACCATTAACTGAGACAGTTTGAAGTCTATTTTTAAGATAAGATTCAAAAAAAGTTAATGAATTACCAGAAAACCCGTAGTAGTTAAGTTTTAATAAAAGATCATCATGGTCAACACAATCAAAAGCCTTGCTCAGATCACACATAGTGACCTGAGCATAGGCTTTGTTCTCAAAAGTCATGAGCACTTCTCTTACGAGCCGATCCACAGCATCGATAGTGGATTTTCCTTTCCGAAAACCAAATTGAGAAAAATTGAGAAAGTTATTGTCTTCTAAAAAATAACTAACTTGATCATAAACCAACATTTCAAAGAGTTTACCAACAATTGGAATCAGCAACACAGGTCGATAGCTTTCAGGTTTGTCTTTTGCGCCTTTCTTATAAATTGGACATATTTTTGAGATTTTTAATTTACTAGGAAAAATACCTTCTTGCAGACATTGGTTAAAGCTAAAAGATAACGGTTGAGCAATACTGTGAATTATATTTTTAACCAGATCATTAGATAAATTATAAATATCTTTACTTTTTGTGTTTTTCATCCTCTTTGCAGCATTAATAACATCACTGGGTGAGATTAACTTCCATTCAAAAACCTTATGATTAATATTTACCTTATGCACTTAGTCTCTTACACTAATACTGGGGTTATCTATTTGTTTCTTAATATCTTTAACTGAATTAATAAAATATTCATTAAATACATGGGGATGTATATTGACTTCCTGATTCTTACTTAACAAATTACTATTAGGCCTATTAATGTTAATTATTTGCCACGCAGCCTTACACTTGTTTTTACTCCTTTCAATTTTATTTACTTTAAAGTTAAGCTTAGCCTCATGAATAGCATCTTTATATTGCGCTTTCAAAATTTTCAACTGAACATTAGCCTCTGGTGTTTTCAGTTTGCCTAAAAATAATAATCTCTCTTTCATTTTTGCAAGGTTTTTTGTATACCATTCATTGATTGATTTTTTCCCATTACTAGGTCTAACTCTCTTTAAAATCTGAAAATAATCTAATTTCCCTAGTACTACCTCAAAAACTGCATTAAAAATAAGGTTAGCATCCAAGTGTGCAAGACTCATTAAGAAACATTTCCAATCAAAAGCAGTTAGGCTACTTGTCAAATCAGGTATAACATTACTGGGTAGGACTAAATTAAATCTATTAGGAACATTGTTACTAGTCTTGTTATAGATTTCTGTACAATGAAGTTTAAAACTTAAACCATCATGATCCGAAAAGGGAAAGTCAAAGATTTTACACGGACCAACTCGTTGCCTTGAACAGTTAATAAAGACGTTATCCAAACAGTTATTGCCACGGGTTGCAGCTGAGTTCAAACAGAAAAAGTTATTTTGCCTTAAAATATTGAGAAATCCTTTTACAGTTTTTACATCCTTATTGATATTAAACTTATTATTTACATCTCCACCCACAACCACTGTATAATTAAGCCACTGAGATAAAAATAACAACAGACCATCCAACTTATCTAAAAATACATCAGCATAACCAGAGGGAGAATGATAAATTGACACAATAATTAATTTATGGCTCTCAATAATAACTGCTGAGGCTTCAAAATGTAACTCAACACAAAAAATATTAATATCTAAAAGTTTAGGAATAAAATTGTTTTTTACAAAAATAACAGTGCCTCCCCTTATACGTTCTTCTCTACAAAAAGCGCTAACACAGTGATATCCATCTGGAAATGAATTCATAATTTCATTTTGGTTGAGCCAGTGCTCGGACAAGCAAATAAAATCAACTTCATTTACCCTAGTTAAAAAACTTTCTAAAACAATTTTTTCCCATTTAATCCCTGTATATTTAAAAATAAAAAACCAAGCCGAGTGGTTCGATTTGGCCCCCCCTTAAGTACCAAATTGTTGCTATCATCCTTTTTACTGGTTATGCCTATTTCACTGGTAAAAAAACACTAGGCCTATTGAACATTGGCGTACTACTATTGATTGAGGGCCTACTAACATCTAGCTTATTATCCTGACCTTTGCATGGTGTAATACATTCTAAATTATTTACTAACCTACACATATCATCTCTTAAGGACAAAGAAGGTGTTGAAAAACCTGGAAACTCATCCGCAGAAGAGTCCACTGAGACATCATTTTCCAGTTGCTGTGTCTCGAAGGTCTTTTCTACAGCTGTTGCACCTTCCGATGTAGAGCAGTCTGCGTTGCACCCATCGCTGTTTTCTGCCGGTGTTTTTCTTGCAGGTGAATCATCCGATGTCTGGGGTACAGCACAGTCTATCGTTTGAGTAACTGAATTAGATGTAACTTGCAGCTTATCTTCTCTTCTGCATGAGCCCAGCAAAATCACAATCGCAATTGACACCTTGCCACGTTTGTTGAAATGTAGGCCGTTCCTTGCATAGTAATGTCGAGGAAGTTCATTGATGGGAAGAAATTTAACATGAGTCCTTCTTGCAGCAATATGTTCCCACTCAAAATTAATGTAGTCCACAGAGTTACAGACTTCTGGCCGTTGATGTTGTACTGGAATTCCTGCCACCACAACATTGGTGTGTGTAAGGTGATCAACTGTTTCCCTCATTGTGTTGATAATTTTGTCTTCTTCATTGATAATCCTGCTTTTGGTTCCCGCAATTATAATTGCGACATCATTTTTGGTGAAGTCTCGAGTCAGAGTTTTTACTTCTTGAACCACCTCCTCCAACTTAGCATTCGGCTTAAAAATGCAACAGACATTGCCCACATCCTCCTTTGAGCCTATTATTTTTTGGTATAGATGTCTTCCGTGACTATCAGCAAGTATCAAAACTTTTTGTCTCTTCAGCGACTGAGTCTTCAGGTTTTGGCTCTTATTAATTTCCACAACCTTACACTTAGGCCTATTCACAGCAGTAGGTTTGTGTCTTTGATGCGAGACTTCAGTAGACAAGGACTCCACCCTTGGTTCTTCCGCCTTTTGATTAGTCAGATTAGCAGTGATATAGTGGTGCATTATAAGAAGATTTAAGTGATTTTGAAGTGCTGGTTGATGATCCTGAAGAAGTAGGTAGTGATATTGATGTAAATTATCAGCCAGATTCCTACCTATGGTTAGGCTATGCATTCTTAGCTAAACGCTATGTACTGAAATCTGTTTTTTGCCCATAACTTATTAATTTGCAAATCTACCTCCTTATATTATTATATATTTGTAATCCTCATAAAATTTAGAACAAAGTGGCTATTTTCAAATATTTATAGGCCTATAATTTATACAATTTCATTGAGCGCGAACATATTTTTTTTTTTCAATTTTTCCAAAATAATTTTTATTTTTACCTAAAAAAATGTTTTTGAAACAAATATTCCTTAGGTTTTATGTATGATATTGAAGCCCATGATTTTCCAAACAAAATGGTATATAGAACAGTAGAATTAACATTGTTTTAAGCTTTTCAGATCCGTTTTAATAAAACCTTGCAAATGCGCCAAAAATAGGCTGACATTAAGGCCTAAACTATGGACACTCGGAGGGTTAAGGTAGTGTACGATACCCAAGCTAAATACGAACTACTGATATGTAAACAACCTACTTTGTAAAAAATCCAAGTTAAAATTTCATAACTTTAGGTTTAGGTTTAATAAATTAAGCATTTTGGTATGTCATTAAAGTTGACTTTAAGTACAGTCAGGCTTGTCATCGTTTTCGAGACATAATTCCTCAATATCTTGAGTAATACAGGGTATTTTTGCCTTTACAAAATAACTCCATCAGACATACATTAAGTAGGTAGAAAGGTCGCTATAACTACATAACACCACTGGGAAATAGCAAATATGAATATTAGGGGTTGATGAGTGATAGGTACGTTCCAAACCACAAAAAGATACGTCCCCTCTCTGTAAACAAAATTCCCCACCAAGACATCCACTACATGGAGACGGTTCATTAGGCTTTATCATATCCACTACATTCTAATACCATTATTTTACTAGTTCTATAATTATAAACCAAATTATGTAATATCCATTAGAGATACTTTATTTAGCATTTTAATATTTTGAATGACATGTACAACCCTAATTTTGGATCATTCGATATTTATAAGCTATCAATATTATTGTTAAAACTTCATAAAATGATAAATAAAAGTGTTAAAAAATTATATGTCTAATAAAGTCTGGTCTTTTTCAGAACTGGCATTAGCTTTCCCAGACATAGAGAAAAATAAACTCAAGTTCCTCACAGAAAAGCTTCATATAATGTCTGACATAAGGCTGTACTACAAACAGCAGATAAAAATGGTATTCTATTAAACACTATATAAAGAACAGATGAAAGTAAATTATTGCTCTGTAAAACTATTAAATTACTGTACAATTAACATTTATGCGGTAGGATTTAAAATATCTTCAACACAACAAGATTTAAGCAAGAAATGTTTTAATATTGTTGAGATCTCTATGTAACATACAAGTCATAACTAAAAAATTAAGTTATCTATTTACTTACTAGGTCATCTGACAAGTACTATAAAGTTAGGAAGTAAATATGTTAAAGCTTCCGTATAAGTGTGCATTTTGTAAAATAATTGTTTCACCTCAGTGGAAAATGAGGAATCATATATTGGAACATACGGGTGAGCGCCCCTTTAAATGTTTGATATGTGAGAGAACCTTTATCCAACTAAATAAAGTAAAGAGTCATTTGTTAAAACACTCTTGGGAGAGCCCTTATAAGTGCACTGCATGTGAAAAATCATTTAAAACCAAACACAAATTGAAGAGGCATACAGTGGTTCATACTGGAGAGTGGCCTTATAAGTGCACTACATGTGGAAAGTCCTTCACAACCAAAAACAGTTTAAAGGGACATATATTGATTCATACTGGAGAGCGACCTTATAAGTGTGATACATGTGGAAATTGCTTCAAAACCAAAGGCAATTTGAATAGTCATATATTGGTTCATAGTAAAGAAGCATCTTATAAGTGCACTACATGTGAAAAATCATTTAAAACCAATTACGAATTGAGGAGGCATACAGTGGTTCATACTGGAGAGCTGCCTTATAGTGCACTACGTGTGGAAATTCTTTTACGAAAAAAAAATATTTGAAGGACCATACAAAGGTTCATACTGGAGAGCGACTTTATAAGTGTGATACATGTGGAAATTGCTTCAAAACCAAAGGCAATTTGAATAGTCATACATTGGTTCATACTAAAGAAGCATCTTATAAGTGCACTATATGTGAAAAATCCTTCACAACCAAAAGCAATTTAAATAGACATACATTGGTTCATACTAGTTAAGGATCTTATAAGTGACCTATATGCGCAAAATCATTCGCCATCAATGAGAAAATTAAGAAACATAATTTGATTCATGCAGGAGAGCGATCTCATAAGTGCACCACAAATGAAAACTTCTGTAGAATTATATAAGTTTCGAAGAATTTTAAACAATTGAAATAAATTATTTATACTTGATATTCAAGGAAACATACATTGTTACCTGTTAGAGAGCAACTTTACATGTGTAGGCCATGCAAAATGCTCTTTTACTTATAATTTCCAGTATAGCAGACTTGTATTAATTATTGATAGCCTTGAATGTCCTTACGGTATAAGTGTATTTTGTCCTAAAATGTCAAAGGGACTTGACACATTTGTTCATACCAGAGTACCAAGTTTAAAGTTACAGTTGTTCAACCTTATTAAAAAGATAATATAATTTACAATTTGTACAAAACCATTTAGGATATTGTTTTAAAAATTTCAGTAAAAAACTTACTGTATTAAACTTATTGATCTTTTTAGTTGATAAAATGTTCAAGTGGTCACAGAATTAACTTTAACAAATCCACTTGTACTTTCTATTTGTTAAAATAAGTTACTTTTATAAATAAATATTCATATAAATATAAGTTCTTTAATTTTACCATTGTGCAAACATTACATCCTCTTTAAAATACTTTTAGTTACTAAAATACCAATTATACACAAATAACTAAATACTGTCAAATAATTATAAAACAAAATTGCATTTGTGCAATATATGACAAAAGAATACATAATAATTAATAAATAAAAAAACGTTTTGTTTAAAAAAAAATTTTTATCTATAAATTATTTTCTACTTTTTTAGTTTTTCATGTGTGTGGATGTTAAATCTATTTCAAGCATATATATCAGATTAAGACAGAGGCGTGTGGAAAATCTAACATTTGTTTAGTTTCTTTTCACCTACTAACTATAAATATATCAATCTATTTAATTTATTGTTTACTTAATAGAATACTAAATAAATAACAATTGACATTATTAACAAACACCTTTATATATGCAATCAGATTGTTTATCTTTATTTTTAAATTTTTGTTTGTATAAAGAATCTCTTGGGACCATAACCTGTACCTCTCAACCTCTGCTCTTCGAACGGTAAAATTTAAGTATTTACAGCTGACTTAAATTAATTGATATATTTACATTCTTTCAAAATGTAAACATGGAAAATTTGGAAGCCCATGGGGCGTAGCCGAAGGGTAATATGAAAATTAAATGATATAATATTGCATTGTCATCCATTTGTGAGTTATGTTTCAAATTTCGTGTCCCTAGCTCATGAGGAACTTCGTTTATAATTGATATCAAAATTTGTAGGAAAGCGAGCTAATAAAAACAAGTCTCTAATTCATCGGGAAGTATAAAAATTTGCAAGAAAGCGAGTTAATAAAAACAAGCCCATGGGGCGTAGCCCAAGGGAAATATGGAAATCAAATGATATAATATTGCATTGTCTTCCATTTTTGAGCTATGTTTCAAGTTTCAAGTTTCTAGCTCATTGGGAAGTTAGTATAAAATTGATTGCAAAATTTGTACCGGACAAGAAAGCGAGCTAATAAAAACGTTTTAAAAAAGAGTAGGCGATAAAAAATCACACAAGTGCAACATTAAATACTCCCACCGTAGCAAACCTGCAGCCTAAGCGAATTCCTATTTGTCTGATTTAATTTTTAGTTTTTAATAGATTTAAATACCTTGAGGTTTAACGAGTATTAAGGTTTGCTGCTACAGGGATGAGAGTAAAGTGTGTGTTTGATAAATTATAAAATACAATACAATATATTTAGCTTAGTACAAAATAAATAAATTTGCAAAGTTTGATCAAAACATATCCATAAAACAAGTGACCTACAACAGTTTACATAATCTCGATAAGAATCACATGGGAATTTTTAATTTACAACTTCACTGAAGGTTCTTGGATTAAAACATATAGTAAGTAATGTAATTAGAACTGAGTAAATAGAGAGTGCGGCAAAAAACCTATCTATTTTCTTTAGCGCACTATTCAGCACAGGCCATCCGAGGGTGGTGGGAATAGGCTCGTTGGATAGTCTATACAATACCATTTATCGTAGTCATAGAGCTGTGGTTGTATAAGCTACGTGCGGTTGTTTTCTAGTAGTTTTTCAAAAGTAGTAAACCAGTCATTGCAACTCAGTGGCAGTTCTGTGCTTTTATTCTATTAGGTCGACATGGAGAGGTTCTGTCGTGATTATCTGTATGGATAACATGATTATAAAACAGATTATTATTCTAATTGATCTGTAGGGATGAAAATTAACCTCAGAATTTGTGTATCTGAGCAGTCAGACATGTTCGAGTAGCCAATTGTTTTCTGGCGTGCCTGCGAGGACTGTTTTCCACAGCAGCATGAACTCTATCGAATGTAAGTTGTCTGGCGTCCGATCTGACTTTGGATGGCCTTTCGGCTACCTTTTCAATGCAGAAGCCGTTGTTCCAAACTTAGTAACCCACCACATTATTGTGATACGCAACGGAACTTCTTCATGTCACCCTAATTGAAATAATGTGTGAAACTGCCGATTCCGCTGAGTTGCAATGAATGAACTCAATACCTTTTAAAAACCACTCCATAACAACCGCACGTAGCTTAGGCGACCACTGCTCTATTACTACAAAACAATGGCATTTTGTAGGCTTTCCAACGAGCCTACTCTCACCACTCTCAGACGACCTGTCGCTGAACAGTGCTCTGCAGAAAATGGATTGGTTTTTTTGCCGCACCCTGTATATCTAAAATTAAATATTCCAAATCAGAGTAAAATCAAATTAAGGCTTTTCTTTTTGGACCTGTGGGCAGAGCCTCGGTTGTATACAATGGTCTTATACTTATCTCTGTGATCTACTCTTCTCTGCTAATCTTACTTATTTCCTATGATCAATGACAAAACCATAGACTAAATAAAATAACTCAACAGTTAGTGCTAAAGAGTATTTTTATATCCATCCAGCTGTTAGTACAACAAAATTATACTGCACTAAAACAAACCCAAGATTTTGAATGCTGCTCTAAAAGTTAAATTAGAACAGCTAGTATTTTACTATGTATATTTAAATAAATTGTTACCCTCTTACTGATTAAATGAATGTATAAATGATTTTAGCATTACACATAGTATATAAATAAGTCAACCCTATGTATCCAATTTAATTTTTATCCAAATGCTGAATTTGTGTCACAATCACTGAATGATAACAGCTGTTAAGCAAATGGCATTGTACCAAAAGCTAATCTAGAATTTTAGCGTCTGCTACACTTGTTTAAAATTAAAACTTAATTTAAAAAAAAAAAACTGAACCCTTAAACTGAAATCTTATTTTCAAAATTACCTAGTTCCCAAAATTATCTTTCTTTCAAAACGGTTTCAACCAAAAAGTCATGAAAATCCATCAAGTGGTTAGTTCACAATGAAATTTAAAAAAAACCTGTAACCTAAATACAGGGTGTCCCGTAACTCTGTACATATGTATATTCCTTAGGTCAAGACAAACACTTCACCATAGGAGCATGGGTCGGTGGAGCTTAGTTTTCCGTCTGTCTGTATTTATGTGTTTTTACAACTTTATTAAAAAAATTTCAAGTGGCAAAAAAATTTAAATTTTACGTAGTTTTCAATAATACATTATTTGTTAAATATGATATATTATAAAATTGTAAATGACCAATACGACATGGCATTTTTCAGGAGTGGCAAAAGTCTTACCCTGACATAAAGAAAATAAACTCAAGTCATCACAGTAAAGGTTCATATGATTTCTTATATAATACTTTGAACAGCAGCTGAAAAGGGTATTATAATAAACACTATAATAAAGAACAAAATGAAAGTCAATAATATGCTCGGTAAAAATAGAATTTTTATTACAACCAGCATTTATGATAGATATCATAAATGTAAACCAAAGTATGTAATATCCATTAGAGATACTTCATTTAGCATTTTAATATTTTGAATGACATGTACAACCCTAATTTTGGATCATTCGATATTTATAAGCTATCGATATAATTGTTAAAACTTCATAAAATGATAAATAAAAGTGTTAAAATATTATATGTTTAATCAAATATATATATCTAATAAATTCTGGTCTTTTTCAGAACTGGCATTAGCTTTCCCAGACATAGAGAAAAATAAACTCAAGTTCCTCACAGAAAAGCTTCATATAATGTCTGACATAAGGTTGTACTACGAACAGCAGATAAAAATTACATTCTATTAAACACTATATAAAGAACAGATGAAAGTAAATTATTGCTCTGTGAAACTATTAAATTACTGTACAATTAACATTTATGCGGTAGGATTTAAAATATCTTCAACACAACAAGATTTAAGCAAGAAATGTTTTAATATTGTTGAGATCTCTATGTAACATACAAATCATAACTGACAAATTAAGTTATCTATTTACTTACTAGGTAATCTGACAAGTACTATAAAGTTAGGAAGTAAATATGTTAAAGCTTCCGTATAAGTGTGCATTTTGTAAAATAATTGTTTCACCTCAGTGGAAAATGAGGAATCATATATTGGAACATACGGGTGAGTGCCCCTTTAAATGTTTGATATGTGAGAGAACCTTTATCAAACTACATCAAGTAAAGAGTCATTTGTTAAAACACTCTTGGGAGAGCCCTTATAAGTGTGATTCATGTGGAAAGTTCTTATCAGCCAAAAGCGATTTGAGAAGACATGCAATGGTTCATACTGGAGAGCGGCCTTATAAGTGTGATACATGTGGAAAATCCTTCACAACCAAAGGCAATTTGAATAGTCATACATTGGTTCATGCTAGAGAGCGACCTTATTATAAGTGCACTACGTGTGGAAAATCTTTTACAACCAAAAGCAATATGAAGGACCATACAAAGGTTCATTGTGGAGAGTGGCCTTATAAGTGCACAACATGTGGAAAATGCTTCACAAAAAAAAGAAACATGAAGGACCATACAAAGGTTCATACGGGAGAGCGGCCTTATAAGTGCACTACATGTGGAAAATCCTTTAAAAAGAACTGCGAATTGAAGAGGCATACAGTGGTTCATACTGGAGAGCGGCCTTATAAGTGCACTACATGTGGAAAATCCTTTAAAACCAACCACGAATTGAAGAGGCATACAGTGGTTCATACTGGAGAGCAGCCTTATAAGTGCACTACATGTGGAAAATCCTTTAAAACCAACCACGAATTGAAGAGGCATACAGTGGTTCATACGGGAGAGCGGCCTTATAAGTGCACTACATGTGGAAAATCCTTTAAAACCAACCGCGAATTGAAGAGGCATACAGTGGTTCATACGGGAGAGCGGCCTTATAAGTGCACTACATGTGAAAAATCCTTTAAAACCAACCACGAATTGAAGGGGCATACAGTGGTTCATACGGGAGAGCGGCCTTATAAGTGCACTACATGTGGAAAATCCTTTAAAACCAACCACGAATTGAAGAGGCATACAAAGGTTCATATTGGAGAGCGACCTTATAAGTGTGATACGTGTGGAAAGTCCTTCACAACCAAATACTCTTTGTATAAACATACATTGGTTCATACTGGAGAAGCAGAGGTGCCCATCCCCCCCAAACCCAGAGGCGCAACCCCCGCCCCCCCCAAGCCAAAGGAGTAGTTCTCCCCCCCAATTTATGCTGCCGTCTATTTAAACCTACCCTCCCCCCCCACCAATTTATCTGACAATTTTCCCATTACCTCATAAAACGAGCATTCCAATTTAGTATTTAGTAAACTTGAGGTAAAGAAAAACAAACTTGCTGATAATAAAAATTAAATGTTTAATAGGAAACGTTAACAACATTTAACAATACTTCATCAGGTATATCTAACTAATGGACGAATTAGAAGTGTTTCAATTTACATTTCAGAATCTCTATTGTCAGCTAACATGTGCTCAGTACTGCAATAACGTCTTCAAAACGTACAACAATATACTGTACTAGGTGAATTACTCTACTCCAACACAGTATTGTAACTGTACAATATATTAGGTGGCGTTAAATTTTACAGAGAAAGAATCTCAGAGAAGAATTTTAAGAAATCAAACCGCTTTAAAAATGCATTAATAATACTTTGGCAAAGTTTTTTTTTTTCAAAATTATAGGCAGTCACGAAATAAGACAGACTTGTTGCTCGCCACTCCCTGGCTCTACAAACACCGCCACTCCAAACAACACACTCCAAAAACTCGATTTTACTCTACAAAAATTGCCAGGCAAAATACCCACAAAAGGTTTTTGTGACGAAGTAATCTTATAATTAATTTTGATAGCCCCAGGATTGCCTTTTATGACTAATAATGGTAGAAACGCATCTTGTCAGACAATCTGTTTATACACAAAACACGAAACGATAACAGATAGGCCTATCAATTCACGTGAGTATATTGCCGCAGGCAGGACTGGAAGTAAACTGAATCAGGTTATGACGGAAAGACGTGGTCTCTGGATTGTCGTCTGTGTTATCAAAAGCTGATATTGGACTAGTTGTAGTGACGGAGGAGAGTGTTGAAAATATAATGGGATTCATAATTGAGTTTTCCATTTAAAATTATTGACAATAATAACCAATTTATCTGCTGGATATAAATTATGGTCTCGAAATTCTACAGTACTGCACGAAAGGAAATTTATTAAATACTTTGAGGAGTTTGAAATATATAAATACATAAAACTAGGGACAGCGCAAAATTTTTGAGTGAAAACACTCAATTAATTATGAATCCAATTATACTTTTAACACTCTTCTCAGTCACTACAATAGTCCTATATCAGCTGGTGACAATGCAGACGACAATCCAGAGACCACGTCTGTCCGTCATAACCTGAACCTGATTCAGTTTACTTCCAGTTCTGACGACGGCAATATATACGCGTGAATTGATAGGCCTATCTGTAATCGATTCGTGTTTTGTGTGGTGGAGGTAAAGAACCACCAAAACATATGTAGCAAATAAAATTCGACACTGACACTGGTATATTAAGGATTGTCTTACAAGGTGCGTTTTTACCATTCTTAGAAGCAAATCTTAATTACGAATGGCAAAATGTTATTGGTGTTGATAGTGAGCTACTTAGAAACACTTTTTCGGGCTGCTTATACAAAATTATTCATTCATTATGACAGCTAGCAAAAAACATCCCCCCCCAAAATCCCCTCAAAAAAGTCCCCCCCCCCAAAAATTCCTGTGGCGCAAACGCGCCACAGTACCCCCCCTCTGGGCACCCCTGTGGAGAAGCATCTCATAAGTGCACTACATGTGGAAAATCCTTCAAATTCTATAACAAATTGAGAAGACATACATTGGTGCATACTAGATAAGGATCTTATAAGTGACGTACATCCTTCGCCATCAATAAGAAAATTAAGAAACATAATTTGATTCATGCAGGAGAGCGATCTCATAAGTGCACCACATATGAAAACTTCTATAGAATTATATAAGTTAAATTTCGAAGAATTTTAAACAATTGAAATTAATTCTTTACACTTATTCAAGGGAACATACATTGTTACATGGTAGAGAGCAACTTTACATATGTAGGACATGCAAAGTGTTCTTTTACTTATAATTTACATTGTAGCAGACTTGTATTAAATATTGATAGCCTTGAATGTACTTACAGTATAAGTGTATGTTGTCCTTAAATGTCAAAGAGACTAGACATACCAGAGTACCAAGTTGAAAGTTACAGTTGTTCAACCTTATTAAAAAGAGAATATAATTTACAGTTTGTACAAAACCATCAAGGATATTGTTTTACAAATTGCAGTAAAAAGCTTACTGTATTAAACTTATTGATCTCTTAAGTTAATAAAATTTTTGTTCAAGTGGTCACAGAATCAAATTGAACAAATCCACTTGTACTTTCTATTTGTTAAAGTTACTTTTGATAAATAAATATTCATATAAATATAAGTTCTTTAATTTTACCATTGTGAAAACATTACATCCTCTTTAAAATACTCTTAGATAGAAAAATACCAATTATACACAAATAACTAAATAATGTCAAATAATTATAAAACAAAATGGCGTTTGTGCAATATATTACAAAAGAATAGGCATAGAAAAGAGTAGGCGATACAAAATCACACAAGTGCAGCATTAAATACCCCCACCGTAGCAAACCTTCAGCCTAAGCGAATTCTTATTTGCCTGATTTTTTTTAAATAGACTTAAATACCATAATGTTGTTTAAGTACCAAGGTTGCCACTACAGGGGTAGTAAAGTGTGTTTTTAATTAATTATAAAATACAATACAATATATTTAGCTTAGTACATAAAAGACACATTTGCCAAGTTTGATCAAAATATATCCATAAAACAAGCGAACCGCAAGAGTTAAATAATCTGAATAAGAATAACATTGAATTTTTAATTTACAGTTTTTACTTTATTTCCATATACATAATACAAAGTATTGTTTTTGTTGAGTTTTGAGTGGATGTATCCGTTTTGGTTCCCTCTGAACCAAAATATAGTGAGTAGCCTAGCCTATATAGAGAAAGTATTGTTTTCGTCAATATTTCCAAATTTGAGTTTTGACTGAATATATCCGTTTTGGGTCTTCTGAATCCAAAAAAGTGTTTTTTGAAGTGATATCTGTGTGTGTGGATGTGTACAGAGTTACAGACCACACCAGTGGGCCGATTTTGATGAAATTTGGTATGTAGGTACTAATCCATTTTTAATGGTGGTTTTTCTATAAGAACCCATAAAATAACAGAAAAATTAAATTTTCTCAATAACGGCATAGACTAACCAACACAAGTAGACTTCTCATCCCATTGTAAATTTTGAAGCACGTTTTTCGTGTCTAGTTCATGTACGTGACACATGGGCGCTAGTGTCGACGAAACTTTGTTTCTATTATTTTAGGGTTAATTTCTTGATTTGTGCTTTGCTGTTTGGTTATATAACTAGGGTACAGGTTATTGTTTATCATTAGATCGTATCATTTGGTTAAACGAGGTTTTAAATGGCTGTAATAACTGGAAACAAATTGTAAACAAAACACGACCTCTACAGAAAACCGTACAGAACTAACAATAAAATTGTCTTCAGCTGTTCCATAAGGATGAGAAATCTACTAAGGGAGTATGTTTTATCCATGATAACGGCCCAAATTATTTTGGAAAAAACTTACTATGTTATATCTATGATAACGGCCCAAATTATTTTGGAAAAAACTTACTATGTTATAAATTCTGAAGAAAATGGTACGAATCCCATTTATAGTGTAGGCAAACATCATTCTGGCAAACAACAGTCTTTCAGCAATAAATAAACAAGATCCCCCCGCTGCAGCAAACCTGCAGACTTAACAAATTTCCATTTTCCTGATTGCAGTGGTAGTCTCAAGATTTCATTTTGTGGGGATGACCTCCAGGAGGACTGGATTGTATAGAATTTCCCTCCGGAAAAAATAGAATAATTGGGTATTTAAAGCCTAAAAACATATTTTTATGTTAGCTAATAAAATATAAAATATTTCGGGGCGAGTTATATCCCTCCCATCCCCCCTGGGACCGCCACTGCCTGAATGGATTTTCTCTAAAATATCTCCATAAAAATATCGCGTCTATTCCCTATTACAGTAGCATTGGTTTAGTTATTACTTTTAGGTTTGCTGCAACAGGGAGGGTAAACAGTGTTTCTTTTGTGTGAAATGGTTATAGTTTAGTATGAAATAAATACATTTTCCAAAATTGAACAAAATATGTTCATAAACAAGCAAATTACAACAGTTTAATAGAAATAACATACAAATTTTTTATTTACAATATTTTTAATGTTCACGGTAACCATTAGGCGCATAATTACGCTTCAATATACTAAATTATTTTTTTTTAAGCTGCAAAAATAGTGTGGAAATAAATTGAAAATTTTCTTGTTATAAGGTCAAAAATGAGAAAGCCAATTTTTACCCCATAACATCCCATATAAACCCCCCTTTCATAAAAATTTTAAATTTATTTAATTTACCCATTCCAATAGTCCCATCATGCTGGTTCGAAAACTCCTCCGAATAAACGTAGTTTTACACGGTCTTACCATGAGTACCGTACTACGTTTATAGCTTATTCCGTTTTGGGCAATTCGCTAATAAAAATAAAACAGTCTCTTAACAAAAGTTTAAAAAGCATTCCGTATAGGTACACTGGGTAAAGATGTAATTTTATATGTTTACTTTTTTTTTCTAAGTGTTTTTCGAAGTGATGTATGTGTGTGTGGTAGTGTACAGAGTTACAGACTACACCTGTGGTCCGATGTTGATGAAATTTGGTATGTAGGTACTAATCCTTGGTATCTCCATGAGTTTTTTTTTTCATTTTTCAAAATTTTGATATTTTAATAGTGGTTTTCCTATAAAACCCACAAAATAACAGAAAAAATTAAATTTTCTCAATAGCGGCTTGAATTATTTTGATAAAAACTTAGTATGTGATAGTCATCTAAATGGTACAAATCCCATTTCTAGTGTAAGCAAACAACTTCCATTTCACAACAGTCTTTCAGCAATAAATAAAAAAGATTAAAGTAAAACAGCCTATTAACAAAAGTTTAAATGACAATTATTCCATATGGATGTAATTTTTATATGTCAACTTACAGTTTTTCACTCTGAATCCATAAATGCAATCAGTTTTTGACGGAGAGATTCCTAAGTGACTGTAAAAAGAAGGTTAAAATTACGAGTCTAAGGTTTTTGAGTGGTACTATGGCGAGGTCTAGACGGGTCCGGTCTGTATGTGGGTTGAGGACTGAATGAGGAGAGCAAACAGCTGTTTATACTCTACTTGATGCAGAATTAAATCAATTGGTTTTGAAACTAATAATAATCAGCTCTTATTTAGGCATGTGGGGAAGGTAGCCGGGTTTTATGCAGATTCCTGACTTTATTAGGTGTTTTAAAGTTAGTTAAGATTAGGAAGGTAAAGTGTAGGTTAAAATTAATCGACTCATGCCACTCCAAAATGTTTTTGCACAATTGCAATAGTGGGTGAAACCTGATGAAGTAAAGGCGCGTTTACATGAATTTCTAGCTCGCATTAGAGTTAATGGAATGTGATATTGAGCGAGTTACTGTTCTAGTATCGAATGACAGATCGAATTCCAGCAGCGTTTACATTGTTGGTTGTTACTGGAATAATAATAGCAGTCGTGAGTGATGTTGTTGTTAAGTGAAAGTTGAGTATTCATAATAAGCGATCACAATGCTCTGATATGATCGCTGTGTATAATATGTTTATGTATAGTTTGTATAATGAGTGAACTTATTAAAAATCTACGTAGGAATGTATAAGTATGTATAGTATGTAAAATGTATTATTTGTATGTCTATTTGTGAAATTATTCAAGGTGTCTTGTTAATCTGTGGAAATAAAAAAAAAATAACATACATCATCACTAAACTTAGCCATCACTGTACAGTAAACACAAAAACTATAAACAAACAGTAACACACCTTTTCCACCACACTTACCCACTTACGTTTTAACAAACTGGGCTTCACAAAGATATCGTATGCGAGCATTTCTCAACATGTTGGAAAGTAACTTGAACCGCAAAATGTCATTCATGCTTGCACTCCACTACTAGCATGCGAGTAAATTTGTGGTTGACACTTATTCAAGGAGGAATGCGAGCTAGAATTATTGCAAATGCAACTTTACTCAACGAAGCTGAAGCTTGATTTTATTTAACTTTACAGCCACTTAGGAATCTCTCGATAAAAACTGATTGCATTTTTGGATTCAGTGTGAAAAAGAACTGTTGGACATATAAAAATTACATTTTCCCCAGTGTAGATATACGGAAAAATTACTGTATATTGAAGCATTATTGTGAAATTAAAGATTACGGAGAAAATGTCAAAAACATGTAAATGTATTTGCTTACTCTCAAACGTTACCCGAAATGGTGTTGAAAAGTATGTATGGTAAATATAATGCAGTAAAGTACTAAAGATAGTTCAGATAAAAGGTTTAGGTAGTGTATGATACCCAAGCTAAATATAACTACTGATATGTAAACAACCTACTTTGTAAAAAATCTATGTTTAGGTTTAATGAATTAAGCATTTTGGTACAGGGTGGGGCAGCATAACTTCCTTTTTCAAAGTTTAATAAAACGCATTGTATGAGTCAGACAAACTTTATTTGGTTTTTATTATGTAAGTACATTCCTAAAGTTTTGTTTTACGTAGTTTTGAAGGTAAAATCATGCAGGTGACGTCTCCCATTCTAGATACATTGAGTATACCGATTTCTGATGTGTGTCATTACGCTTTCAAGCATAGCAGGCATTATCTTGGAAATTTCTCGCTGGATCTTTTTTTTTAAATCTTGAAGGGTCCTTGGACGGTTCACATAAACGCGGGACTTCAAAAACCCCATAGACAAAATCGCATTAGGACATATCAGAAGATTGATCAGGCCATTGCAATTCACCCCTTGATCGCAACATTGAAGCTCACACTGCCTCAATGTTCTCAGGTAATCTAATGGGCCATGGGGCTCAAGTTTTTAGTTTTGTTGCACTTGCAGGATGTCTAAACGTATTGAACCTAATATCAATTGATTTCAGGTCCGGAACAGGAGCCAACGGGGCTAAATTAAACCGATTTCGAAAGGCGCACTGGGCTGCAATCACTGAACATCCACTCGAAAAGTAGGCATCAACAGCAAACGCACGCTTCTCAATGTCCAACCCATAATGGCGACTAAACTATGCAAGGACAAAACTTTATAGCCTCGCCCCTCAAAGGAGACTGCTAGCTCTTCGCTATAACATGAACAAACAAAATGGCGCACATTTATAAAATTAAAG